GTGTGGCTGTGTGTGCGTTGCGTCGTGTTGTGCGTGTCACGTATACGTGCGCTGCAATGTGTGCGATGTGTGTGTGCGTGCATGCGCAACGTGTGATGACGTACATGTGCGTGCACACACGCATCACCACATATCATTACACCCACACACGCACACACGAACATACACACACACATTTATATAATTACACACACACACACCATGCAGCGCACATCACACAACACAAGCACACATCACAACACACTACCATCACACACACACAGCATCACCAGAGCAGAGAAAGATCGAGAGAGAGAGAGCGAGAGAGAGAGAGCGAGAGACACACACAGAAACACAGACACACACACACATACACACGCACACACACACACACACACACGCGCGCGCGCGCGCGCGCGCACACGCACACGCACACGCACACACTGACTCTCTGCAATAGCGTTAGTTGTAGAGCTATCTCTGTCACAGCGCTGTTGCTTATGTATATGATAGAACGTAACCTAGCAACTGCAACACATGTTTGTAGTTATCTGCCAGCTGACTGCCTGCATTCCTCCGCTATTTAGCGGAGGCATAGCGGAGCGTTCGTGAAACAGGAGTTGTCCGTTCGCCAAGTTCTCCGTTATGCCTCCGTTCGCTAAAGAGCGAACGGAGAACTTAGCGGAGAACTTTAACGGAGCTTTGTGAAACGCGCCCCAAGCTTACCTAGTCCGAAATCCGGCCATGCCTCTAAGCTGTATACATAGATATAATATATACATGATGTGTACGTATGTATATAATTCAAAGTCCAGAATTCGCTCGAAACTTTTGCCAGCTAAGTGATCCGCATTTCCAGTAAGTAGTCAGCAGATCCGCAACACAGTACGGCGGGCCGGACGCCATGGCTACACCACTTGACGGAATGGCACAATTACATGAAGAGACCTATCTCACTTTTCATGCTTTCTAGACGTCCATATGCCATCCATCTTGCGTGTAATAATGCAAATTAGTGCACTCTAGAGCCGAATATTATCACACAAAATTCAGGAAAAGGCTTTTTCCAGAAACAAAAGAGTGCTGCGTGCCTCCTGCATAGCAATATTACCCACAATCCTGTGCCGTCGGCCATACCGGTTGGCAAAAGAGCGAATATATATGCGTGTAATCTTCCGATCTGCCCAATCAACCGATTTTACATTGGCTATAGTGTTATTATTGCAATATATATTAGCAGTAAGTGGATCCCTGAAATAAAATGGAATAAGCAGAAAGTGCTGCATAATACTGTAAAGTATAGCGGCGGAGACACGCAGATGTTGACCTACAATTTCTTGCTAAAAAATATGCCAATATATTCAACTACATTGTGTAGCAGTGTCGGTGTATCTAATTTTAGAGGTGGTTGTCTCGTAAATTTAAAACTACAGTTATACAATTGTGGCCTACGCTGAGATGTTTTATGATGACCATGAACTATCTAAAAACACGCACGCCCGCACGCATGCACGCACGCATGCACGCACGCACGCACGCACGCACGCACACACACACACACACACCTGTGTTGTCTGTGTTTGTGCGTGTGCGTGAGTGTAATTTGAATCCCGCTATTCATATAGATATTGAGTCAGGACACGTTCCCGATGCCGTCAACATTCCGTTTGGAATGATCCTTAATCAGGAAACAAAAACTGTGAAGACCCCAGAGCAGTTAAAGAAGGTGAGTGGCAATTCTCTAAACTCTTAAAAAATATCATAATACACTAATTATTTATTTCTTAGAACTGTTGAGCTTGAACGATTTCAGATATACATCTAGAAGTTCCAAGGTAAAATTCGAAAAAAATCATTTTTTTCCTGGAAACGTTTATAGGTTTACGGTTGTAATATAAGTATAATGATATAGTAATTAGTAATGCTAAATAACACTTTAATAATGCTTAACAATGCTTTTATTATGGTTTAATCGCAATGAAAAATAATGCCTTAACAACAATCATTTAACATTGTTTAATAATTAACTTCAGTTTAACAACATAAGTGAGTACGGAAAGTCCAGCTGTGCTATGTAGGTCGCAGAAAAAGGGGGTATATAAAATGGCCGAGGCGCGCTTAGGAAAGTGCATGATTAATGTAAACACTCGTGCGTTTTTAGTTTTTGCATTAACACAAACATTGCAAAATATCCCAAACGACCACAATCATATTTGTAAATGTTTATGTAATCAGAAACGCACCTGTGAATTGAAGTACGATGTTAGTTAAGAGAATTATAGATCAAAACTCTAGAATAGTCCTATCCTACCCATGTTATAAAAGGGCTGTTTATACCCTCTCTTATCTGATCTCAATATGGCGGCGGGGACTTTCCGATTTGGCTTATTGCAGATGATGGTAGTATAGCGCTGCGCTATTCATGCTTTGTTCTCGACGTTATTTTAGATATTCGAAATGAAGAAGATTGACCTGCGTCAACCATTGGTTATAATGTGCGGTTCTGGCATGACTGCGACGGGTATCTACCTCGCAGCGTTCGCGTGCGGCAAAACAGATATGAAGGTGAGCCAAAACATTAGTGGACATGAGTAACCTTTAATGAGACCTGACGAGTTGGTAATTAAGATAGTGAGTGATTCGTATTTACGCGCTACAGGAAAGTATTTAAGATGCAATGTCAGACATAGTATTTCGAGAAATTGTTCATAATTGTCCATCTTGCAACGATTAAATACCTTCCTGGTAATGCGTGAAATGTTGTTCAACTAATGTATTTTTAAATGTAGAACAGTGTGGCTTTCTCACACTTGTTTCGCTTTTGTGATCACTGTTTTTAGTAGATATACTTATTCAAAAACTACTACACGTGTTAAAAACCGAGCGTATGCCGTGACGCTTTATTTGTGAGCTGTATTTATTATGTGGGAATTACATGCTGACTTACTACTGACCTTACAGGTGTATGATGGATCGTGGACTGAATGGGCTCTACGTTCAAAGCCAGAACATCGGATCAAGGAAGCAGTAAACTAAAATTATTTCCCGCTAGATGGCAGTGCGTCCGGGAAATTGCCAGGATAAACCGCTGTGTTTGAATTTTGACACAACCTTTCTAAGACGTGACATAAATAATCAATTTTCATGTTTTAAAGAATTTTCTTTGTTTTATATATTTCTTTTTTTTTGGTAGGTAAAATGACATTGGATAAATGAGAATGTAAAAACAATATCCGACTATTGACATTATAGTTTACGTATAGATGAGGTGCGCAGTATGTTGCAAGTTTTCTTTCAGAATTTATGATTTACGAGTAAAAACTCTAAATATAATATTGATAAATGTGTTGGAAATTAACTATATCTGCGCAACACGACTCATTATTGAGTAACCTAATTATCGGTTGCATAAAACGAACCAAAACTGAAGTGAGTCGAGCTAAACTATTAGACTCGGGCATCTCCAGAAAACTCAAAACGAATTTCAGATAACATCACCTGACATTAAAAAGCGATCGAGTTACCAAAGATGCATAGCAGACATCTGCAGATGCGCAGTTTACACCGATATATCTTAGTCACGTCACTTAAGAATTCCTTCAGATTGTTCAAGCTTAGTATCAAGCTTGGTATATCAGCAATGAACAAAACTTGCATGTTTGGCAACGATCTTTTCATAAAAGGTGCTGAATAAGGTTTAGATAAGGGCAATACGAATCAAGGTTTTTTCAGATGTCTGATTATTAGATGTTTGGGTATAGCCTAGCTCACTTTTGGTATCTTAGCAATGGCTTGGTGAGAAGCTTGCATGTTCAACAACGACCTCTGTGTGATAGATTCTCAATGTGTTTATGATAGGGTAAATAAGATGCTATAGATTCATTTCTTCGGGTATTTGATTATTCAAGCATAGGCGCACGCTTGGCATCTTAGCAAAGACGGAAGCACGAACACTCAGCAACGAGACGAAGACGGTGGCTGGCCTGGCGTCTAACTACAGACGCTAACAAAAACACACACGCCGTGGAAGCGGACATTAGCAAAACACAATTAACAAAACGTAAAACGCGGTGCGAGTGAAGCAAGCAAGCAGTGAATTACGCCTACTAGTTCTAAGCAACTTCAAGCGAATTCGTGACGATCGCTCGCCGTCTGTCTCCGGGGAGGGCATCGCTTGCCACCGCCGGCCTTGCCCTTTCATATATTATTACTGCGGGGAATATCGTGCCGATGTGATGATATTAATATACACTTCCCCGTTCAAATTTGATTTCGTCATACCGCCGTCGGTGGCACGAACACTGCCGAAATCGAGTTATCTTCGCTATATTGTGGCAAGCGGTTCTAGCTCCACCTGGGGACCTTCTACGCGAATTCGGACCGGTACAATTATCTTTAATAAATGTTCGGCGGCCCGTCATTAAAAGCACTGTGATATATAATGTAGCTGTAACGAGGGGGTCACACCGTCTGTCGGTGAGCAACACACGTAATGTTGCAAGTCTGCGCTTGTTCGGGTCATGGACTGGGAGCGGAACTTGCAACAATGAATGCATCGTAAATGTATCGTTTACATCCATATTTCCCGCTTCCCAGCAGCTCTAGTTTGTCATTCTTTTATTTTATTCTCTCTCTCTCTCTCACGCTCTCTCCCTCTTTTTTATTTCTTTCTTTCTCCGCACTCTCTCTCTCATGATGTCTCGCTCGCACCCTCTTGCTCTTTCCCTCTCGCTCTCTTGCTCTTTTTCTATCTCCCCCATCTATCTATCTATCTATATATCTATCTATCTATCTATCTATCTATCTATCTATCTATCTATCTATCTATCTATCTATCTATCTATCTATCTATCTATCTATCTATCTATCTATCTATCTATCTATCTATCTATCTATCTATCTGTCTGTCTGTCTGTCTATCTTCTATCTATCTATCTATCTATCTATCTATCTATCTATCTATCTATCTATCTATCTATCTATCTATCTATCTATCTATCTATCTATCTATCTATCTATCTATCTATCTATTTATCTATCTATCTATCTATCTATCTATCTATCTATCTATTTATCTATCTATCTATCTATC